AGAGAGATCAAGTATGATTAAAGGAAATCATAAGATTACATGATTACATTTCTGAATTAATCAGAGACAATTAGTATGTTATCCTTGTGTCAATTATAGCATATATGATTGCTATGTGACTTTGCTTGAAAGCAAAGATGAGACAACCCATTAGGGTGGGTGAATATATTTTTGAATTTTTAAATTCCAAATATACTCTTAAATTGGTGGCTCCTACATTGGATTTGTGTTTCCTAATAGTAAGACTATTGGCTTCAGAGTGATAGGTTGGACCAAATATATTTGGGTAATTAATTCGGTTGATGACATTCTGGGAATGTATTTACCGTGATATGATTTTGAGAGTTTCATAATCATTGTGACACAATGAATTGTTTAAAGACCCTGCATGAATTTTCGGAAAAAAGGCCAGAATCGTTTGTATAAATTCTACAAATGTGGGGGTGTCATGCAAAAGGCGGGAATACCTAAACCCAAGAGGGTTAAGATAAGCCTAAAAATCCGTTGACTTTGTATTCAACGGTTATGCACAATATAGTAGTGCATATCGATTTCTTGTGGTTCAGTCTGCTATTCCAGATATACACAAGAATACTATCATGGAATCAAGAAATGCATCTTTCTTTGAAAATGTATTCCGAGTTCCATGTAAGAGGTTGAAGGTGACAATGATTACATAGCTAATCAAACAAATGATCACTTGCGTGATCAAGTTGATGATCAAGCTGAAGATGTAGATGAGCTAAGGACTGCAAAGTCCTTTGGTCCGGATTTTTTGACTTATATGTTAGAGGGAGAATCTCGAACTTTCCATGAAGCTGTGACTTCACCTGAAAGTCCTTTGTGGAAAGAAGCAATTAAGAGTGAAATTGACTCCATCTTGCAGAATCATACTTGGGAGTTGGTTGATCTACCCCTAGGCAGTAAGGCCTTGGGGAGTAAGTGGATCTTTAAAAGAAAGATGAAAGCTGATGGGTCAATTGATAAGTATAAAGCTGGGCTAATTATCAAAGGATAGAAGCAGAGAGAATGCTTGGATTACTTTGATACGTATTCACCTGTGACAAGGATTACATCCATTCGCATGGTGATTGCGATAGCAATGCTACGTGGTCTAGAGATACATCAGATGGACGTAAAGACAACTTTCTTAAATGGAGATTTGAATGAAGAAATCTACATGGAGCAACCCGAGGGTTTTTCAGCTCCAGGACATGAGAAGTTTGACAACGCTATGTTGTCAAATAGATTTAGAATCAATGAGTGTGACAAATACGTATATGTTAAAGACACTGATAGTGGTTATGTCATTTTGTGTCTATACGTTGATGACTTCCTCATTGTTGGTAGTAATGATGAGATGATTAAAACTACCGAGAGATTGTTAAACTCTAAGTTTGACATGAAAGATATGGGCCTTGCAGATGTTATTCTAGGTATTAAGATTACCAGAACATCTAGTGGAATTGTACTTTCTCTGTCTCACTAAATTGAGAAAATACTTGAGAAACTTAGTAAATCAAATACAAGTGTATCTAAGACACCGGTAGACATGAGTCTACACTTGACCAAGAATATTGGTGAGAGTGTCTCTCAGCTAGAATATTCTTAGGTCATTAGCAGTTTGATGTATTTGATGACCTGTACAAGGCCGGATATAGCTTACTCTGTTAGCAGGCTTGGTAGATACACGAGTAATCCGAATGCTACTCATTGGAAGGGCATTGTGCGGGTGTTAAGGTATTTATGCTACACTCGGGATTATGGGCTGCATTATACTCGATATCCAGCGGTGCTTGAAGGCTATAGTAACGCAAATTGGATATCAGATATAAAGGACTCAAAGTCCACTAGTGGATATGTATTCACTCTTGGTGGGGCAGCCGTGTCTTGGAAATCTTCCAAGCAAATGTGTTTATCTAGATCAACGATGGAATCAGAGTTTATTGCTTTGGATAAAGCAACGGAAGAAGCAGAATGGCTTCGCCATTTCATTGAAGATATTCCACGTTGGTCTAAACCTGTGCTTACTATTTGTATTCATTGTGATAGTCAATCTGCAATTGGTAGGGCACAGAGTAATATGTATACTGGAAAGTCTAAACATACGACAATTACTCTCGAATGGAGTTGTCTCTTTAGACTTTGTAAAGTCTAAGGACAACATTGCGGATCCGCTAACCAAAGGATTAAATCGAGTGTTAGTCGAAACGTCGTCAAAAGGAATGGGGTTGAGGCCTTTGGAAGTTACCGGAATGGAAACCCAACTTAGTTGACTGAAGATCCCAAGATCTAGGTTCAATGGGACAACCTAATTGCGTGTAACGGTGGTATGTCACTGAGGAGGTTAAACCTCCAGCCATTCCTTCTATCAGTGATACCTGCAAGTGTAGAGGTTAAGCTGAGCTTTTAATGACTCTAGTGTGTTAAGCTATTGAGCTAAGTATAACAGGATGCTCAAGTAGAGTCACCTATGTGAGTGTGAAGTGGGGCCGCTTCTAGAAGAATTGGGTAGGCCAAGATTCTTTGAAACTACTCGCTGAACCAGGATAGTGTCCAAGGCCATACAGGGCACACCAGTGAGAACAGAATGGTGGTAGGAGTAATTCCCATGTGAGATCTATTGTCTCAGTTTACATAAACGGCAGAGCAGTTCAAAATGTCATGTTCATTGATCAGCCAATAAACTCGATAGGTTTTCACCGGGAGAGGTTCAAAGCCAAAGCTACCTTCTCTGATGTCGGGGTTAGTTCGTTGTATTCTCTCTCCGAGTCTTTATTGTTGAACGGTATCCGTTTGTTGAGTCATTCGGTCAATTTTTATTCATGTAGGGGATTGTTGGAAAAAAAAAAAAGGTTTTTTGGTGACTTTAATTAAATATTAAAGTGGGTCCTAACCATCTATTGAGTTAGGTCTAAGTGGGTCTAGATACTTTGCAATGAGATCTTTATACCACAAATAGAATGACCAAAAACCATTGAGATTTGAATGAGAAATTGCCTCATGAAGTTAGCTTCATGAAAGAGGTAGTGAGGTTTGTAACTTCTGGCTTTATTACAGAGTTGAATAGAGCATTAATGAGGTTTGTAACTCCTGCATTAATGAGGTTTGTAACTCCTGCCTTTATTGCAGAGGTTAATGGTGCATTAATGACCAGCTATAAAGGCAGAAGGCTTCTCCTTTCTCCCCATACATGTATAAATTGAGATCCTCATGTCAAGTCTAAAATACAGAAATTGTTTTTTTCCATTTTTTAGTTAGTTTGCTAGAAATTTCTATAGTGAGAGAGTACTGCCACTGTTTTGTTCGCTAAACTAGACAAAGAGTGCTTCTGCCGTAGCTGGTTTTGACCGTCGTATCCTGGGAGACAGACGCCGGGATTCCTCAAGCACTCGACTCGTGAGGCGGCAAAATCTGTTTTAAGGAAACTGCTACTGTGCAGGTTTCGGTTTGGTTTCTTTACTATTTTATTGTTTTGTATTTTTCTGTTGAAACTTAGTTGTAATTATCAGCATATGTTCTTAGTATATATTTAATTTTGTTTTCTTCATAAATCTATTTATTAATTTCACAAGATGAACAACAGTAAGTGTAATTTATCCTATAATTAAATTAACAGGTGGATCAATGTAATTTCTCAATTATGAAAGGAAAAACTAGAATAAATATAAATCTTATAGGGTGTCAGGGTAATTTATCCAAAAATGACAAGTTCAGATTTTATAGCGGTAAAGTAAAAAAATCCATCAAGAAGACATACATTTTCAACATTGCACAATCATAGTCATGTCATTCTATTGTTGTAAATTATATACAAAAGAAAAATACTTTAGAGTTTTAATTCTTGAACTCTAAAGTAAGTTCTAGTGAATTGACAGTGGATTCCATTCATTGTGATGTGATGTTTTGATTTCATTTTTTTTTTCTTACTATATCATTAATGCTCTATTAGATCATCAAAATTAATACTTTAAATCATTGTTGATATACAAGGCATGACTTTAAGTCTAAAAAATCCATGAAGAAGGCTACATTTTCAACAATGCACAATCATAGTCACGTCATTCTATTGTCATAAATTATATACAAAAAGGCATGACTTTCCTTAAGTCTAAGATTAAATTAGAGATTGTTGTTGGACCCGTAAAAGTTTACTGCGAATTCCGTTTTGATAATCTAAATCGTGCAATCTGTAGAACTCATAGAGTACTATATGTTTATAAAAAATTACGTTGATCAGATATCGATAGTTATGTGATCAAATCAGTTTTGTATATAAAAAAAATAGACGGTGAAAAAATAAACAGTTGACAGAAAACTGATCGATGACATAGCTATCAATATCCGATCAACGTGATTTTTTACAGGCATATAATACTCTATGAGATCTACGTATTGAGCAATTCGAATTATCGAAAAGAAACCCGTGGTGAGCCCCCACGGGCCCAACAACACCCTCCAATCTGATTTGGGACTAGAGGGAAGCCAGGCCCATACAAAAATCATATAAACATTGTGTTTAGTTTGTTTTTTGAGATAAATTTTTTAAATTTTTTTTGGGAAGAGTTAAGAATTTTTTTAATTTATTTGGTTGTATATTTTGAAAATAGTTTTAGAGTTTGAGAGTTTAAGATGATTTGATATTTTGTTGTAGTTGAGTAAATATGCGTGGGAGAAAAAATGATTGAGAAGGAAAGAAAAGAGAGAAAAAGTGATTAATTGATGTGTAATAGAGAGAAGTAATTTTGATTTTTTTTTGAAAAAATTTATAACCAAATATATTTTTGAAAATTTTCTTCCAAAAATATATTTCAAAACACATACCAAACACACCCATACATCATTTTCCAAACCAAATAAAAATATGGGAACAATTACTAGTGCAATATTAGGTATTGTAAAGTGGAGCGGCTTCTTTGGTTGTGAATAGTTTAGACAGTGAAGCTCATCACATTTATGTTAAATTTTGGGAGATAACATGGGAGAATTCCAATTAGTGATTAGTGAAAATTAGCACATGACAATAACAATAACAATAACAATAACTACAACAATCCTATGCAATACCTCACCCATATACAATACTTTTTTAATTTTTTTTCATATGGAGATTATTTTTTTTCTAAGCAACTCTTCTGGCTTTCCTTCACTAATAAGAGTCAACCAATAGAGGTGATAATGATGCTTTTCAAATAATGGAAACGCCCAAACAGCAACTAAGCATAAAACCTCTTGTATTGGCTTTGAGTTCAATGAAATAACCAAAGATAATCATGTGGAACCTTCACCCAAAAGCCATGAATTGCTCAAGTGCTTTTGATCTTCTCTGTCACCACAATCTGCAAGGAGACCAAACATTGACCCAAAAAAAAAAAACTTTTAATTTATCAAATTCCAAATTGATCATTGAAGAATACTAACTGCAATCTCCATATTTTAACTAGCAAAGTCTTAACACCCTTTGAGATGTGACCCATTTTTAACTCTCACCCCTAAAAACTATTACACCCTTGGAGCTACCACTTTTGACACCCCTCCATCACTAATGTCAGTGCAATTAATAGAAAATAGTCACATAAGAATCACATGCAATTTTTTAAACTATATTATGAACATTATGTCCTCGTTAAAAAAATTTGAACCTAGGACTTGTGTAGCCAAAGCTCGAACGATGTTAGAATATTAGGGGGAGCCAACGTAAAACTAATTGGCAATGGATAGGAATTGATAGGGGATCAATTTCTAAAACTCTCCTGCAGTCTGGTCGCATAAAAAGATGAACAAAACAAGAACAATAGCATTGGGGTGGAGCTTTGGCCCGAGAGACCAACCAAATCCCAACTCTAATAACATTTTAGATCACCACTAATACCAAAAGCTTAAGATGTTAAGAAATGAGTCAAACAATATATATGAAGCTAAATAGATTGAGTGAACAAGGTAGTGCACAAAGACATGCAGAATAGAGTGCATAGTGACAAAGATAAAGGGGGTGAACAGACTAGAATCTCGGACCTCTTGGAACCAAAAGTCAGATTCCATGTTAAAATATTGGAGGCATCCAACCCAAAACCAATTGTCAATGGATGGAGGAACCTCTAGACTATATAAATCAAGGGTCTAAGTTGTCTCTAGTTGGAGATCAAGACTGGACCGTCCAGTCGGCGACATGAGCCCACTTTTGTGTTCCGTTTCGATGGTCCGAACCATTAACATTTTAGAGTTCGTTGAGTACATCATCCATGCAAAAAATCAAATTGATCAGATAACAACAACCACGTGTTCAAATTAGTTTTGTATGAGCTGGAGATCAAGATTGGACCTTCTAGCCCGCAACGTGAGCCCACTTTTGGGCCCCGTTTCAATGATCGGAACCATTCACATTTTAAAGTTCGTCGAGTACATCATCTATGCAAAAAATTAAGTCATTGGATAACGACAACCATGTGTTCGAATCAATTTTGTATGAACTATTTATTTTCTTACTGTCTTTTTTTCATACAAAACTAATTCGAACATGTGGTTGCCGTTATCCAATCGATTTGATTTTTTGCATGGATGACATACTCGACGAATCCTAAAATGTAAATGGTTCGGATCAACTTAAGTCTTATTTTAGAGTCGCTTAACAACTTAATTCTTATTTGAGGTTTTAAGAGAACCTAAAGAAGTTTAGGAGAATGCTCAATAGCAATTATAATTACAAATTCAAATGTCATTCAATAGTCTTAGAAAAAAATAAAAATTCTTATTAATTGCAGAGTTGTTCAGAAAAAAAATCTTGCTCAAACTTAAAATATGTAGATATGTTAGCATCCCAAATGCTAAATGCTAATCCACAATCTAGTAAGCTCAAATGTGGGAATGGATGTGGGTACGAGTTCGTTGATACAGAAAAACCTAAAAGTAGGCAACGGACATACAGCCGTATCCGGTAAGTACCCGATATTAATATTCTTAGAGTACCCATGCTTCATAGTGCACAATCATTCCCCCAAAACGACTGGTATTTTGTGTTATGAAATTGACGACGATGATGATGACTATAAAAACAATTTTGAAGTATTTTGAATGAGTCCTATGACACTCGAAATGTAGATATTGGCAAAGAAATTAAACTGCAGATATATTTTTTTTTCTCCTTACCCATGGCCTGCTATCATCCAAATCATGTATT